CCTCATTACAGGCAGCAGAGTATTTCTGAAGGCAATCAAGCACTTTTTGCTGCCCCTTGCAGAAGAGAAGAGACTGTGATCTCAGTTGTTTGTATTCATTAAAATCCTCTAACACATTTCATAACAGTAGGTTCTTTAACCCCAAGGCTTTGGCCAAATTCCAACTCAATTACTGTCTACCTGAAAATTCTCCCATTAAATTAGGATTGATGTATTTGTCTCCTCCCTTAAACTGGTGAGCAGCAGTGGCTTGAACTGCAAAGAGCTTTCCAGGCTTCATCTTCATCTTCCCTGGCTCATTTCAGGGTTAGGTTAGGAACATCAATACACTCCCTTGACTCAGGACTATATACCCAAATTAGTATCTGTTAAATGTTTCAACATGCACTTACAAAAAGACAGTCATTAAAGAGAAAAGCAGAACTCCACACTGTGTCTAGAAAATAATCCAGAAAAGATCATGTGGAATAACTTGCGGAGAAATCTGCTGACAAATGGAGTTAGTGGATACAAGTGAAGGCTGAAGATCTAAACTGCAGACCACCATGATGCGTTAGCATTTTTTTCACCCCTAGCATAAATGACAGCATTTCTACCTTTGTACAAGGCAGAAATGTTTGTCACTGAATGGTTGCATGAACTATAAATGCATTGAATCATTTTTAGTTCTTTTGATTGCAGCATTTGCTGGGGATGCTTAATTTGGTTTGTCCAGAATGACAATGAACAGTTTAGGTGTATTTTGTATTTCAGGCTGTTGATACAGTAGATCTTATGCCTCGTGTCTGCCTTGTGAGAAAGCTTTCAGTGAAATATTATGCATAATTAGAGAGAGTAGGATATGCACTCAGAGAAGAACAATTCCTTGAAATGTTTCTGGTAGGGAACGGGTTGCCTAAGGGCAAGATCGCCCCATTTCACAGAAAAACCAAAAGGGAAGTGGAGGAGCAGATCTGTGTGCAAGATGTGCAGTGGTTTAGGTACCAGCACCCTCAGATCTTTACATGTTGTCTGGAAACACCTGCTTCTGAATTCCCTTCAGCAAATGCTCTTTCTCAGCTTCCAAGTGGTGCTGTTGTTCCCACTTGTTCACGCACAACCACCCTTCCTCTCAAAGGGGTGCAAGTACCAGCAGTGGCAATCCTTCCACAGGGGCTCTCGTGTCAGATAACAAGGACAACCTACAACCTTGAAGGGAGTCCTGCTGTGGCACAAGCGTTCTGGGGAACATCAACTGTATTAAAAGGACAGAATTTTAAATTATTACATTGCTATAATTTTTTCATTGATTTGTTTAAAGGATGCATTATACCAGAACAAAGTAGTGATTTCTGTCCCATTAAAATTACTCTCTCTGGTGTTTCAAAAGTTTTTGGATTCATTTCTGCTTGCACCTATGGATTTCACTTCTAACAATTTTTTTAACAATTTTTTCAAAATAAGATGAGAAGTGTTTGGTTAGGTTCCAACAGGCAACAGTCAGCAATGTAAAATGCCTCCACATTCAGAACGGCTTTCTCAGGTAGTGATTTCAGTGTCGTATTTAGCTGAGCTAAGCGCAGATCGCCAGGGGATTGCCAGCTCCAGCTGTGCACTTCCACTCCCCCCCGCCCCGCACTGGCACTCATCTAGGTTCCAATTCAGTCACATGGGGAAACTGATCCCACTGAAAACTTAAAAAAAAAAAAAGAAATCTTCTTAAGCTTTATCCTGATCCTTCAATGACTCTTACTGATAGCAAGAGTCACTGAAGGACTGCATAACTAAGGTATTCAGCACACATATTTGGCATGTTTAAGCGTAAGCAGAGAAGCATTCTTATGCACGTAACACCACATGTAGCAATTTCTATATAGTAATTCTTTACAGAGTATTTCATACTATCTTTCAGTGAAGGAAAAGATGTGCCTCTGTTTTACTGATTAATTTATTAGCATGACAGGTTATTTAGTGCCTGGGTATATCAATGACATGGAAGAAAGAGGCTCCCCAGGGAAGTGGTCACAGCACCAAGCTTGACAGAGTTCAAGAAGCATTTGACAGTGGTCTCAGGCACATGGTGTGACTCTTGGGGATGGTCCTGTGCAGGGCTAAGATCCCTTCCAACAGAAAGCAGATTCTGTGATTCTTTGAAAATGGGAATTCTGGCAATGAAAATAAGGGCCAAGTAAATCCACTGGCTACAAAGCCAGTCTGCATCAAACATCCCAATGCCCAGTCCCACGCTTAGATCAACAAACACCATCACACCCTTGCCTTGCTCAGTTAACAGGTACGCTCAGGAGTCTGCAAACACCTGTCACGTCCCAGTCAGTGCTGCCACCTCACAGTGAATGGTGGTGCTGGGGATGAGGGAAGCTTGTATTTGCTGGTGTGAAGAAGTCCAGTTCAAAACCCCAGTGCCTGGAAGTTAGGAGCCATATAGAACGACTCTATCCGAGCTGCCGGCTTGGCTGTACATGTAACAGATGGCGCAGGCTGAATGGTTAATGCCATTACTTGGCCTACCGGCCTGGCTGGTGTGCTCCTGAGTGTTTTATACAGTCTCAGGAAACTGCAGCAAGCTCGTGTGATGATCTGCCACCGAGGCTTACTAAGATCTAGCTACATATTCATGACCTTTTAGCCTAGCTGACTGATTTGGAGCTTTTTGAAACAGCTGATTATATGGCTTTTCTCTTTCTTTAATATGAATGAATTCTACATTCTGTATCTCCCTGATTTCTTAAGAATGCCAGACATTTTCTGGTGAAGGCATTAATGAGCAAAGGCTTGTGTGGCTGACATTTTAGTCTATTGGTATTTTAGGTCTCTGCAGATGAAAATGCTGTGGTATCATAGGAAATGTGTACTTTAATGGACAAATGGAGTACAGATCTGGTCTCCTTTGGCATGTTTAAGCCTGCTCCCTTTCTGAACTGTTGAACCACTGCAACAAGAACTGATATGACAGGATATAAATTTAGATTTGATTACTGACTGATTATTATCTTTTATACTCACATTCATTACATTTACAAAGCTCAGTTGGCCTGGTATTCTGAATTTCTGTTTAGAGCTAACGTTTCATTGTAAACAGTGGGCGACAGCAACTGAACTATCTTCATCACAGGTCTTAAAACCAGGACTTTCTCAGGCAGGAAATAAAGATGAGTTGAAGTTTTCTTATTTCACAGTAGCAAAATTAAAAGCAGAATGTAATTTTTGCATAATGCAATGAAATAATATGAAAGGCTACAAGGGGAAATTTTATTCTGCCTCTAAAATATACATATTAGTTCAACATGATCTTACACAATTTGACAAGAGGATTTTCATTATTAATAAGATGAAATGTAAGGCTTCTAATTAAGTGGAAAACAAACCAGTGTAAACTACACTCAGAACACTCAAACCTATTAGGTTTTAAATTTAATAATAAATCATTTATCTAAAGCCCAGCTGATTTGTTGCATGATCTTACTTGATGAGAGTTTATTTCATTTCTGTGTTTTTTTCTTCCTTCTATCTTTACTCTTCTTGATACCAATACAACAATAAATTTGGTTTTTGAATCCTATGCTTGAATGCAGCTACTCCAAATGATTAGCAGGTAACAAAATGCCTTAGCAATGGTCTCAATCAGAATTTACAAGTAAAATGAAATGTCTAATATGAACGAAACACTAAATTTGAACTGTACTGTTGGACTGTAAAAACAAAAATACTAAAGAAAAAAACGCCAAATTTCATCAGAAAAAAATGTTAAATAACCCTTACCCACAGGAACCTTTGGAACTAAGCAACTAGTGACTTCAAAACGATTTAAAATACTATCTGATGTGTAATTTGCCACATGAAGACAATTATTCAGAGAAAACCTTTGACAGGTAAAGTTGTATCTGCTTAGAATTGATGTAACTTGGCTCTACCTGTCTGAAGCAATTACTATTGCACAACAAACCATCTAAAAACTATGAGTATTACACATAATTTTGCTCAGCTACTTGCACGAAACATGGGTGACTTACTGCAAGGTACCACATGTGCAGCTGAAGCTGTGCAGTAACTCTTTCCTCTGTGATCTTTCTGTAAATAAATGGTGAACAACTATCACCCTAGAGATAACATATCTATTTCATTTATTCTGCTATGTTTTCACAATGTCAAAAATCTTTAATTTTTAAGCAAATACTTTCCATATTATCACCTTTTAAAAGATCTTACATAATCTGGAGAAAAACATTCCTAGTTTTTGGGTTTTTTTTCTGACAGACAAGGATACTAAATGCCTAGTAATCTTCTAAAGAATATGGACACAACACAAGTGTTGTATTGAGAAACTCTCAAAAGTTTACATCAAATCTGTACCAGTCTCCATATGGAATGCCAAGTTATTTTTAAGTGTTTAGCATTTTGAAAATGCTACCCTGAACAGCAGCAAGTACCATTTTTTCTTATTTGCAGAAGTCCTAGGATTTGTACAGATGATGACAGGTCCAGATGATCATGATCGTATAGCAAGGAAACGCATCCCTCCCTCCACTTTCATCTGCTGGGCTATGCTCCTTTCATCTGCAGGAATGGGAAGAAACAATAAAAGCTTTTTACACCAAGTCTTCCTACCTTTAGGATAGGAAAACCTACTTTAATGGTTCTAACACTTCTTTTTTTCATGCATGCCAACAGGTATGAAAACACACATCTATTCAGACACCTCAGAAACTGAGCCGCCGTGGAAGCCCAGGAAGCCTTTTTGCCAAGAGGTACCACGAAAGTCATCAGAGGATAGTACAGAAGACCTAAGCTGGGTCACAGTAAAATTATAATTGTTACTTAATGGAAAGTGTTCTTTCATGTTGAAATCAAACCTCAATTATTTCAGCCTGCTTATTTCTTAGAAAGAAGTTCAGCATAAATATATTAGATGAGATCTTTTCTGATAAATGCATGTGGGACGAAGGAGCAAAGAGAATCACAACGGATGACCCCAAAAGAAAACTGTATCAAGTCAAACAGAATGATCACCTGAGTGTGTCTTTATTTGCCAGTATACACATCATATTTTTTAGAACATTATCACACTGGTTAATTTAAAATTCTCTAAGTAGAAGATTCATGACATCAACAAAGACCGTGAGGAACAGAAAGGGAATTGGGGTAACTTAGGAAATTTGTAAACAGAGCCAAAATATGTGTAAGGGCTAGGATTAACTTGCCAAAATTAAAACTTTTTTTTTTTTTTTTAATGCAGACAGCAGCTCCAATGGTTGACCAAGCATTACTATCTTCTGAACAGTGAAGTCTGGTTTTGTTTACAATCTAATGAATTCCAAAGGAAAGTGACAACAACCAGTTTTAAAAGTGATTTTTCCTTTTTTTTTTTTTCCAAATACTTTTCAGCAATTAAATTCACATGCAAAAAGCTGATTCCACATACAGAAAATACTTTGTAATATCCAAAGTCCTCAAACTGACAAAAATACATTTCACAGAGATAGAAGTAAACAAAATACAAATCCACAGCTGCAAAGTTTCAGATATGCAAAATGACTGTTTTAATGCTGTGACAGATCCATGGTTTGAAAATATACTATAGCATGTTTCACTCAAACTAACATGGGATCAAAGTTACCTGTGCTGTGCAGGTAAATACAACTAAAACCAGCTGGTGGCATTCTGGCTCTCCCTGGAATAGGAATGGGATGTGTATGCTGGAAGTCCAGGGTTTTTTTTTACAGAAAGAGAACTGACAACATTAAACCGATCTTGCACACTGGAAACCCTCAGGATTAATATACAGCAGCACAAAGATGATAAAAGTGGTTTTTTTGCTAGTTAGTAAGAAAGAAAACAAAACAACAAGAATCTGACAACACACAACTGGAGATACTGTAGATACAATGTGACACTTAATTATAAATCCCTCTGGGGATGTACAGTCTGACACCCAACGTGCCGATCTGCACGTTCATCGCCAGAGCTCCCGTTTTCACCTGCTGTGGACTGAAATGCCACGAAACGTATGTCTTCATCTGGATTATAATGACAGCTTCAAACAAACTTCTAAGACTTTAATAAGCTGCATAAACAGTTGCAAACAGTCATTTGCTCTAATTATGTTACTGTCAAAATGAAAAAAAAAAAAAAAGGGAAATTTTTTTTTTTTAGGGAAATTTTAATTACCACTTACTCAGTTTGAAAAAGGAACGGAGAAGAAAAGCAGCTCAAGGAATACTGAAAATAGGTGTGAATTCAGTCATGGGTATTAGTTAAGGGCACCACAGTTCTGTACAGAAATGAAAGTATGAAAACAAAATAAACAAGTTCAAAAAAGGAAATTAGCACTGATATTTTACCTCTAAAACCCTTAGTAAAAATGCCCTTTTTTTTTTTTTAATGTATGTAAGTAGAAGCATGGTTGATAAGATGACTGCAATATACCCATTTTCTACAATCTTTGACTGATATATAAAAATAATTCTCTGACTTCTGTGTCAAACAGGACTTGCAAATATAACCTATTCCCATTAAAACTGTGCTTGGTGTCTTAAATATTTAAGGCTATACATGCACTGAAATTTAAGGAATTTCAGGTTGAAATAGTAATTGAAAACTGTGTTATATTACATAAATTATACAATGAAGGGACACTGGTAGGAAATGTACATACAATGCAGCATCAGTCTGTTCCTGTAAGACCAGCATACACAAGATAATTATTGTACAATATCAGGACTTCAGACACAGGAAAGCCAAATCTCTTCTCAAAATAGCACACTTCAGATATAGGTATAACATGGGTAAACCAAGCTAGTTTGACAGCACTGACTGACTTACATTTTTGTTTGTAATAGGATTTTGATTAAAATGCACCATGAAATACAACCCAAACACTTTGCTACTGATACAACAACGCACATCCAGTCAGAAAAGAGGTATCTGGAACTCTCAGCTGGGAGTCACATTTACAGAAGCCTATTTTATATTTGTTAACAGAGATCCATCATATCATTTCTGTCTTTTAAGTAATAGCAAGTGCAAACATTATTTGTCCAAATAATTAGAAACAGACTTGGTTCTTTGGTTAACACCATGTGACTTACATCAGACACAGGAATCAATTAAGAATAAACAGTCATATGAGGAAGTTCCTCGGACAGGGCGTGAGGAAGGAAAGGGGAAAACTTCAAATTCAAAGAAATTTAAAGCACTGTGTTAAACTGAACTGCCCTTTGAAACCTCCTGGACTAGAAATAATCAGTTTAAGACATCTCTTCAGTTGCAGTGACATTGCTTACACACCATAACTTCAGTTTCTCTACGTATTAGTTTTATACAAAAGAAGGAAGGCACCGAGTGCATCGGTGACATACAGGCAGTATAAAAGTATGCAAGAAAATGCTACATACTGTATTTTCCATACTTTCTAGAAATGTGGTGAATGTGTGCTATCTCTATGCAATATAATGCTTCAAAATCCCTATATCCCAATGACAGAATGAATTAAGATGTGAAATACATTTTAATAATCTTGCTGATAACAGCACAATTCAATATTTGTATTCACTAAGATCAGTTACTAGCTTATAGTCACCAGAAAAACAAGTTCAAAATCACTGAAGATCAAGGGAACTATAATCTATAACTATACTTTGGGACAGAGCCAGCAGCCTGTATTCATGACAGATGTCCCACTAAGAATGGAGAGGAGGCTCAGTTTTACCACTGTTATTCATGTCAGTAGTGCCTTTCTCTGAGACATCCCAAGAAATAGATGGAACCACTTAAAGGGAAAGGTACTACACAACATGAAATACATCTGGTTAAACCAGGACCTGAGTAAAAGGCAGAAGGTTCAGGCCCTTAGTCACTATATTAGCACTTTTGATTGTGTTAACAGTGATATAGCTTGCTCATAGAGCATTTAATTTTACATTGTTAAATCTTATATAAAAATAGGTAAGAAAGCTCTGTAAGAAAGTATATATACTATCTAAGGAGAAATCTCTCCTTAAAAAAAGCAAAGAAAGGGAAAAATTGAATAAAAGGTTTCACTAATTACACTTTGTCATGAAAATCACATTAAAAACAGTTATCATAAACAAAACAGTACTGAGCACTAATGAACCTTGTGGTTTACTGGAAAGGACAGCAGCTAGCTGTATAGTAAAAAAACATCATTGCTCTATCTCCTTTTTTGTAAATATTCCCTAATACATTCAACCTCTTAGAAATTTTCTTAAAATGTCATAATAAGCCATTTGCAAAACTGACTATCAAAACTGTTCCAAAGCCCTGCTCCGTGCTTGCACTATGGCCTAGAGATTACATCTCAAAGCTGTGATAATGCTTCTACAATTCTGTAAATTCATTCAAACTCATGCTTTGTAAATAAACCAAAAGTTAAAAAGCAATCCACATTAGACCCTCAGCATGCAGTGAATGTCCACAGGATTCGCAAAACACAGCAAAAAAACTGTACTGATACAATGGGCAAGACTCTTGTCCTCAGATATAAGAGTCAAAAGGATGACATTAATTACATCCCTGAATGTCCATGAGGTATTCCTTCAGTGGTATTACTGCTTCTGCTCTCCTGAGTAGGGTCTTTATGCCAGCTTGACCAGTACATGCTTCCTAGGAAGTGAATGATTCCTTCTTGCTATAAGGTAGCCTTGCCCATTTTCTGGGCAGAGCTGTTCCTTGGTCTTCATTCCTACAGGAGCAATACTACCCACTTTCCTAACTCCTGGCACATTCCTCCACAGGAGGATCTTACTTGGTATTGGTACCAGCGTAAGCCTGAGCAGTAAAACCTGATCCAGCATGCACCAGGCCCATTTATTAATTCAGTCACACCACCTAACATAAGAACTAAGCTTGCCAGCACTAACATAATTGTGCCATATTGACAGGTAGGCATAATATAAGCAGATACATTGGGTGCATAAAATTTCTGCATAGTCTGCAGAAAGGAAAAAACCCTGCTTGAACTTAAGGAGGGGCAGTGATAAGTTCTTAAGGCTAAACTAATCCATGTCACTACAGGTCAACTGGCACTCGCCCTACTCACCCTGGGCAAATAAAAAACATCTACCTCTGTAAAATACACTAGTTTAGAAGCCACGTGATGCCCACACAGACCAGCGCTGCTTTGAGTGTACGAACTCCCACAATTCCCATGTCACAGTTTCTCTAAGAAGGGCCCTCCGAGGGCCACAAGGCTCCAAGAGTGGAATGTGAGTCACTGCCACCGCTACTGTATGAAGACATCTCTTATTTTAATGCTCTCGCTCTCAGATGACATCTCTTCAACAGGCATTGTTGATTCAGTGACAAGGAAATGCTCCTGCAACTTTCCCCTCAAAAACAATCATCAGAACAAAGTGTCTGAAATCCAGCTGTGATGCACTACAAAATCTAGCAGTTGAGTTAAAGAGACCAAAACCACAGAACATTATGAAAGGTTCATTCTAACAATAAACTTTGCTGAATGTTCCAGTTAAAATTATCAAGATGTTCGGGGACTACTTCAACATTTTTAATACTAAGTTTTAAAAATATTTCAAAGTCTGAGAAAAGGAAGAAACAAATATAAGAGAGAATTATTAAATAACAAGTTTGTGTCAATATACTGCTCTTTGTTTTTTTACCTTCATTCATAACTGAAATCACATTTGGCTGTGCTGCAGGTTCCATGCTGCACTACTTCTCTAACCTGCAAATCCTATTGTTCTTCACACTTTCAGGGTGAGGTCTGCGCTCCTGTTGATGCCCATGGGCTCCTCTCACTAACAGTAACAGCAGGCAGGCACGCACATCAGTCAGAGAATTAAATGGATGTTTAGTTGTTACTGAGAATTCAGCTTCAGGAGGAAGTCAGTCTGTCTTACAAGTGACAAGCCATAATTTTAAAGACTGCTTTAAACAGGACAGATTTTTTTCCTCCAGAGAGGTGTGGTAAGGAACTAAAGGGCTCAATACAACTATGAGTTCAACAAAAGGGCATTCTGCTGTTAGTTTCAAGTTGAAACAGCTTAGGCTAAAAGGTCTCCCCTCAACCCTCATTCCCTGATTTTACCTCAGAATTTTTTTAGAATTGGTATGTGTAAGAGTAATCTGTATTGAATTCCTACATTAAAATGTCTCCCTCAAAGAAGTTTTCTTCTTCTTCTTCACTACATTAAAACCGATGGTTTTAATTTCAGAAATCTTTAGGAGTTGTACAGGGCACAGAAATTTTGCACCAGTACCTTAAAGTAAGTGGTGCAGAATGTCCCTGACTTCTAAGGCCCAGTGACTGCCACAGGCAGCTTCTCAGGGTGCTGGGGAGTTTGCAGGAGTGAGTCATTGGGGAGAAAAGAGAATAAATGAAAACCACAAACTTTAGACAACAAAAAAGTTGCTCCAAAGGTGTGACAAATTGGAAGGTACTGATGCTGACACTACATCTGCCACCACGAATCCTTGCAAAAATTTACAGAGAAAAATATGTCCCACAGTAAATTCCATAAAATTTTTTTTCAGCTCAAGTGATATCATGTTTGGCTGTCCTGCCCTCCACAACCTTGCCCTTACCACAGAAAGGAACTAACCAAGTTTTTTTACATTTATAATACTTTAAGACGACCTACGTGAAACGTTCTAAACATTAAACCAACTAGTTCATACACAGAAAGGATGCAATATTTTCAAGAATAGAATCTGCAAGAACGTCACTGCTCTATAATTATTTAAGGCTACACTGACAGGAAACAGATTCAATTCAAGATCTGCAATCTCTACGTGGTAAACTGGCACACATAAAAGTAATTAGCTTGATAATCTTTTCCAAGTGCTTACTGTACTTTTGAACAAAGGCAAACAACAAAAAGCTATGAAAAAAACCACAGCCAACCTCTGAGGAAAACACAAGTGTCTCTAATTGGTTACTGATACTTTGTTCTTCAGAAATTCTGTTCCGTGCTTATGACCTAACTGAATGCACAAAACCACACTGCATGTGTAAAGCCCTTATGTAGGGTTTGAAAAATCCACAATATCTAAAGGCAGATTTCAAATACAAAAGTATAGGTTCACATAAGCAGTAAGAGAAACAAAATTACAAACAAATCAAATAATAAGAATGGATTCTAAGAAGAAAAAACAACATGACAGCTATTGGTACTATAATTAACTCACAAAAACCCCAAGATGAATCCAATTATTGGTGTGTCTGGTTTTGCATGGCAAATCCATATTCTACTGCCTCAAAATTTAACATTCATTCACATTCTTTATACATTGAGTTCCTTGGCTTTGTGAAGTATAGATCCAAGTAAATAAATCCTGCTTCTGTGAAACACAGACCGGTCCTGGATACTTTAGGAAAAGTCACGTGACCTAGAGAGAGATTCCTCTTCCCTAATGTGCCCAACAAGGATTAGTATAAATCTACGCTATGTCTAAATTAAGATTTCAGTGCCTTAAAATCTAAATGGTTAGACAGAAAGCTGATGCAAATCAACCTACAAACAGAAACACACATCATGACACAGTTTTGTTTAGTTTGGTTTTGTAAGAGGTTATTTGCTGCACCTTCCAAACTGACTTCTTCATTTGTTCAGTGGTGATGTTAGAGTTAACTGGCTCAGTTCATGCTGTTAAATATTGTACATTATTTTATATAGCAAAATCTGTACAAAGAGACAACCACCAAGAGACAACTTTCAGCTTCAGGAAAGAGCATCCAAATATCCACAAAGAGAATGGATAAAAACACTTCCACATCTACTGAAAAACTGCTTTTGAACAGCTTCGAAGTCATTGTTTCTATTATATTGAAAACTGAAAGGACTGTGAAAATCTGAGCATTTTCCTTATGCATATGAATATTGATTTTTTCTTAAATTCTATGCTGAACATTATATTTCACAAACTGATCAACAAAAAGGACTGAAAGAGTATTGCTGCAAGACCGTTCCTGTTTAAAGAAAGTTTTTGCATTATTTGTATTTAGTAAATAAAGCTTCTGTAAATGAAGCAGCAGCACAATATCAGGAGGAAAAAAGCCCCAAAAAGGTCTGTAATAGTGCTTAAAACTTTAAATCTATAAAAACTGAAAGCCCGGCTCTGAAAATAAACCCATCAAAAGGCACCAAATAAACCAACACGTGGAATTACAATATACTTTCAAAAGGACTTAATGCAATTGTTAAGTAGTGTGAGAATTTGAGAACCAAGTGAAATATCTTCATTACAGCATACTCACCGTCACCAATCTCATTGTACTTGAAAGCCTGTATAACGCAAGGTCAGGATTGTTCGAAGACAGTATAAAGAAATTCAAGAGAAAAACACTTGTCCTAATGAGAACACCCCAGACTAACGCTAATTCTCTTAGCAAAATCTGAGACTTCACTCCTCTACCCACCAAGTGCTACAACAGTCAGTGAGGTCCCATATTAGTAAGACATCACCATCATTTATAAAAATAAAAAAAAAAATGCTTGCTTTCCATACAGGAACACTTATAAATAAATGGAGCTTATTCATTAACAGCAAAAAGAATATTTGAATTGGGGAGCTTTTTAAAAATAAATATGTTTACTCAATAACCCACAATTTCAGTAAATACGAATTAGATTTAGCAGTCAATAAATTAGCGCGAGTCCAGCTGAAGCATTTGGGACAAATAGGAATCTCAGAAGCACTGATATTTCCCCAATTTTGGTGGATGCCACAAGTGTTTATCTGATGGCAAACCTTCTTGTAATACTGCAACTTCTCATTTGCATCATTAGAAAGCCATGTTTCTGAGCCTGAACACAAGCAAAGCAAACTTCTATTTTGTGTGAGAACATTCATTCAATTGCTGGAAAATCACTAGAAATACAACTTACTGATGTTCTCTTCTTCAAGAAGAAGGGTAAAAACTCCTTGTCTGCTCTCTAGTTCCAGCAAACAGCATACGGTAGTTCCTAAAAGAGCTCAGAAGAGACTCAAACCTGCTTCAAGCAAAGCCATAGTATTTCACATTCATTCAGAGCAGTTCAACTGCTGCCCTTTCCTTCACAGTCTTTCAGCCTAACTTCAAACTGCTGACATTTTAAAGAAAGCTGTATCAATTTGTTTAATGAAAATATATTTCAGTAAAGTCGTGCTCTATGAGCTTCCTACATTGGAATACATGAATACAGGAAGTGCTTTCAACAGAAAGTTACATAGTTTTACAGTACAACCTGTCTAAGGAGTTTCGGAAGGGACCAAACTAATGATCTGGTCTCTTTGGATTAGGCAGAAGTACAGGCAAGAGGGAAAAACCCAATTTATGCCATATATAGAGCTCGTTCCTGTCACAGATTGAAGAAACATTAGTTTGATGTCAAAGTTCACCTGATGCCCAAATGCTAGTATTTTTCAAACCAACTGCATATCAAAAAATGAAAACTTACTTGTACTAAGCTCCTGGAAAGAAACTCAGTGTAAAACAACAGTATATTTCTATTTGCTATATTACTAAGTGTTCTTTCACCGGTGGGTTTTGTTTTTTTTTTTGCTTTTGCTAGACAGACCATTAACTTTTTCTCAAAGTGCAAACTATTGACCTTTAATCTGAACGCAGGCAGGTCAGAAGCTACAGTATTAAAGCAATACAAAAGTACACAAGGAGGAGCTTACATTAATTCAAAGAACCTTACACAAAATGTTTCTGAATTGAAAACCACAAAACAAACCCAAACAAATACAGCATCAGGTGGATAGGGAAGGGACTGCTAACGTATCTGTGTACAGCAAGGCTTCTCTGACACCAAGGAAGTTTATGACACTAAGTAAAGATTGTATATTAAATCCTGCCATTTTGCATGTTGTGCACTCTTTATGATGGAATGTTGACCTCAATTCTTTTTTTTTACTCCCATAACAGATCTGTTGATTGTGACCAGAGATGATCATCTTCTTGGGAGAACCAAGTCCCTTTAAACCATGACCGCACCTCCTACCATCCCTTACGATTCTAGTAAAGTATGCCACCTACACACTTGCTGTCCTTTAGATTCTTTCATTTCAGTCCAGTGATTGAGTTCGTCTTCTCCTGAGCTGTTGAGACCCAAGGAAATCCACCCTATCATCTCTTTTCGCTTCATGCTGCGCTTATTATATACAGACAGTATGAGTGTCACGTCCGACAGCTGAAACAGAGCCACCTGGAAAACGAAGGTTTCTTTGTACACTGGGTTGGGCTGCCCTCGGCGGATGGAAGTTTTGCATTTGGACATCTCTTGCCCCATCGAGTTCAGCAGTGTTAACTTAACATACGTATCTACAAAATAAATCATATTTGCAATGTCAGATATCTTAGAACAAAAAGTTCTGGAGAATGTACAAGAAACAAGGATATGGTGTATACCAGGACAATTGAACACAGCTTAGTTTAGACACATGGAAAGATGACAAGTAAGCAAAATATTACAAACACACTAACAAATTAACTAGCTTCATTACTATGTACATGGGTTAAGTTAAAGGTATACCTCATGATGCTCTTCCCGTTGATCCCCCTTACTTAGCCTAAACAAACTTAAGTTGCATTAACACTTAGCAAGCTCCAACCAGGCACAACACTATAAAGCATACCACTGAATTTTCAAAGAATATGAATAAATGAAGTGGAATAAAGGCAACTAATGAAGAGGAAAAAAAAAAAAAAGGTAACATTGATATGCAGTGACTATATCAAAACAGCCAGAATAAAATGCTTAAGAATGATCTCTGCATGGATGCGGTTCTCACTTTGGGCTTCTCAGTTTTATTTATTTTGAAGGCCGAAATGTAGCAAAGTTCATTCAAAGATGGAAGTTTACACAATACAAAACCCCTTTTAATTCCTAGATTCATGAAGGAATACATTAAACACATGTTTAAAGAGAAACAAGTTTTTGCATAATTCAAGATGGTTGTTTAAAATGTACAGTAAGTACTCTTAAGCAGTATATTTAAGAAGCTGATGCAAGTAATGTAGTTGGCACACATTAGGAGTTAGCATTTGGGTATAAACCCTTATTTTAAAAGCTCTATTTTCCTTTGACCAGAAGCACCAAACCATGCTCCTGCAGACAGATGCGCATTTCATGAAGTTATCCGATGATAGGCAACATAAAACTGTATAAAGCAATCTTGTGTTTCGTTCTTTATTCCTGTCTCATTCTTGTTAATGGATAATATGAATTAAAGATTGGAGTTTATATAAAAAGAAACAAATTGAATATTCTCACTTTGCAAGTACACTGAAATCCCAACATCCATAATCAGAGATAAATGCAACTTTTGCATTAGAGATTGCCACAAAAAATAAACATATACATTTATAAACTGATATGGCAGGCAGCCGTGGAAATTTTACTGCTGGCACATTTTCTTTTGCATGAAAAAGACAACATCCAATTAGTTTCTACAGGAACTCACCTCGGATTATATAAACCTGTCCACCTATCAAGTGTTTTAGACAACAGAACAGTCCATCTGACAACAGGGGGTGGAAAGCAGTAAAAGAAATAATGACCAGATGTCAGCAGTTGGGTGAGAGAGGATCAAAGGTTAAAGTTTAAGAGGAAACACTATTCACTGGAGTGGAAGAACATGAAACCTTAGCAGCATAGATCAGAAAAAGGACTGAACAAAAGGATTGTCAGGTAAAATTTAATGAAATGAAAATTTTGTGCAGATTTTGTGTAATCTTCAACAAAAATTACACCACTTACATAATGGGTTATCTTAGCACTAATACCCACTGGGTTCTAAAACACACTCAACAAAGCAAGAATCATGCAAATGATTAGGTTGTAGCAAATTGGGTAAAAATCACTGTATCCTTTTTATCAAACCTTATGCTTTTTCATGCAAACTCCAGCATAATTAGAAAAACTGCACATAGTAATTAAACTTCACCTATTAGAAGCAATAAAATGAAAAATCACTGAACTTAAAACTAAGATGGGTTTGCCCTTAGCTTTTATAGTTACTGATATCTGATTGTTATACTTTAGTTCTTGAGTAGTGATGAACCTGGGCATGAGAATGACTCTGATCTAATCTCTAAAAATAGTTGAGGGACACTTATATGTAAAAATAAACTATGGGTCTCTATTTAGAATGTAAAGATCTCACTTGTTAAAATCCATGTATTTATGGATTTAATGTGTGTGTGCATGCATACACACACATGCATTTAAAACGCAAAAGCTCATACCCCATTTTAACAAAACTTTAAAGAATACTAAGAAGCATCTTTTTCTCAGACAAAATATTAATTGTCACAGAGAGAAACAAAGACAAATTTCAACATCCACTGTTATCACCTGCAGGATTTGGCCTATTGGCCTGTACTCAGCTGTTAAATTAGTTACCATATAACATATAAATATGCAGCAGAGGAGTTTGTACTACCAAGAAGTAGAAATTTAGTATTGTTTATATTTGCTGCAGAAGCATTTCACAAAAATTCATAGATTCACAACCCTTAGACTACAGAAAGGACTGCATGTGGGAAAGAATAATTGCTTCCATTTCTATCATTGCTCCTCAATACATGAATGAAAACTGAACTGCACATGTACTTTTCAGCACTTCGCAGGATTTTGGACCAGTGGTACTCTGAAAAACAAATCTGACCAGAACATTTCATCATCATCCCTATGGGCTTTAGTTTTCATTTTGAGGAAATGATGGCACAGACTGAGGCTGGTAGGTGTCCACAATGTGTTCAACAAGGAGTTAGGAAAGGGCAGTGGTATGCACCTGGGTCCAGGAGTTTAAAAGAAGGTGGCACCACAACTGGGCAGAGGGGAGGGGATGGCACAAAACAACCCACAGGGGAAATCTGGATTCCACAGTATCCTGTGCATGGTTTTACCAGACCCAGAGAGCGCATTAGTTTGCAGGTTTCTAAGAAAAAACAGAGCTCTGAACTCACATTTGCCTAAACAGAACTGGACTATTATCATTATGAACATCGAAACTTTCCCCTGTCTTTCACAGAAAATGACAAAAGATAACATGAAAGATCTTCCCTCCAAAGAGATTAGACAGAACACGGTATTACAGGACTACATGCCAATTTCTATGCTGCTTTCTTGCAATCTGAAACAGATTTTTGACCCCACTGACACACACAACTATTAGCTACACAGCATGGGCCCACAGAGCATATTTTGGGAATTAACATAGTAGGGAATGAACACCTCTGTTTTCAAAATAAGTACTGAACCCCTCCTAACTTGCATATTCTAATTATTAAATAAAAACTGCCTATCTCTGAGATTCCAGAAAGATAAGCATCTCTTTTTGCTTTAAAGGAACACATGATCCCTCTCTCCAGGTCTTCTCTCCCTTTCATTCCTTCTCCCACCCCAGTGTCCTTGGACCTCCTTGGCTTTCCCCATCTATTTCCGTACCTTATCTCCAAATAGGTGACTCTGGGGCAGCTACCTAATTATTTAAAAGTGTTAGAGATTCGTCTTTCTTCCTTCTCTGGCCATGCCAACAAAGTCTGGCTCCATCAGTGTGAAAAATACAGAGAAAGCAAAGCAGAGTAAGGTGAACCAATAATGAATAGAATAAACATGGCTCAAGAAAGCAGGAAAGATGAGAGAGCACCAGTATCAGGTCATCTGGCTTACTTCCTAAACTCTAGAGACAAAGAGAGCTGTGCAAACCACTTAAAAAATGTTGGCAGCTTGCTACATAATCCAGTAGTGCTAGATAATCTGCTAATGCCCTAACAATATCGGGTTTAAGAAACAGAAAAAGTAGCTAAAAAGTAGCTAAAGCCTCAGCCTCCAGACAAAATCAAGAGGAACAGGTAGCTAAGTCTCATTAACACTTATGTAAATCAGACTCATCATCTTAAAAACAATAAAAAATATTTTTTCTAAGAAAGTTTGTTACTGAACTTTCTCAAGCTGTATCAAAGAACTGGAGACAGTAATAACATTCTCTCTGTGTGACATTCCATCTGGTCCCAGTTTATAACTATATAAAGTTCACATATATTTCAGACAAATGTATTTTTGAACAAATGCTTCCACACACAGTTCAAGTCCTTTCTGATGGCGAACATTCCTTCTGCACAGTAAATATGTGAAAGGTCTCAAGTGGATTCTCCGTTGTCTTCACTGACATTCCCAAGTTACATATATTACTACATATATACAGGCACATAAGCAATTAATGACTGCAGTATCAACCCCTCTAGGAACGGCAATAACTGTTCAGAGTGTTTATATTAATATTAACTGGCATGTACTTTCTCCTTTAACACTGACTTTTTATTCTTGGCCTGTGATGTGAGGCATTAGTAATTTAGCAATTAATCATTATGATAAAGGTAATTTATTAGTCAGTCATCATGAAAAATTAAAACAGGCTTGTCAACTCACAATTAATATTTTGAATTTTAGATTTTTGCTATTTCCCAACTGACTAGAAATATAAAACATGAAACAGATTAGTTGATGATTGCTCTATTTCATTTTGATTGGGTAAGGCTAAGTGATAGGATTGAAGTCCTTGCTACCAAGAGCCCCACCAGTACAGAAGCATTAGGATGAAAAAAGATTTTCACTCACTGGGTGGTCTGTTCGCTGCCAAGTTTTTGAAGTGGCTGCCTTTTATCACTTCTGCTGATAATCTTCCAGTTGTAGCATTATAAAGGAGGCCAATGAGGATTTCTGGAGCTGAGCCATGTACCAGAGACTGACAAGAGGAGGTACTTTCACTGCAGGACACTTCTGACATGCTCATTTGAGAGTCACAGCCCTACAAAACAGATAGAAAGTTCTGTGTGCTTTATGAAACAATGTTACTGGGAAGTCAATTTTTAGAATAATGCATAGAAAATTATGAAAGCAACTTACTGACAGTAGCAGAAGTCCCATTCAATCACCCAATAAGAAATGTACATTCTTAATATATACTTAATTTGCACATTTTAGAGGTAACAGAGACTAAAGTGGTCTGAAATGAAAGCAATTCTTCAGTGTTTCCACTGCTTCATTATTCAGGAAAAATAATAGCAGAAGATGAAGAAGAGCCTTTATGGTCCCTATTTACTTCAACTGCTAAGGTAAGACCTGTAACATAATTTGTCAGCATCAGAGAGAACATTAAACCTTGGATCTTTCACTTTCCAAAAATGCAAAACACCAGTGGAACTCTGAAGATAATAAAATGCAGAAAATTCTTATTCATCCTTTGTAAAGGTTATTCTCTAGACTGAGAATTTATGAGTAGCAAAATAACAGAACACATGCAAATAGAAAAATGTGCTCTGTCTAGAATAAATTAGGTTACAAGGAATTTAATTGATACAGGGATACAGAACTGCAATAGATCCTTTGTCTTGGGCGGGAAAGGGAGGAACGCCATCCAAAACACAGCAAGTAATGCTTTAATTTCCATCCTGCAAGCTTCCAAAAAACTTGTATCTGTCATGGAGTCTCACTACATTGCATCTTTAAAGGGAGTTTCTAACATCATTTTTATCATTTTAACTCCTCATTACTGGCTTTAGAAAAAAAAAGAAAAAAAATATATACTTTCTTTATGCTGCCATGCTAATCATACCATGGTTGTTCCTACTTTCATCTGCACTGGTACATAGAGTTGTATTATTAAAAATAAGACACTGGACGGAATCTATCCGACAGCATGGCAATTTGCTTGGTAGCCAGGAAGAGACTTTTGGATTATCAGCACAGCCCTTTATGATCCTCTCAGATAAAATGTAAATTGGATCCACAGATTTTTCAAATATGGCTTGACTCATTTGGGAACCTGGCATCCCTCTTTCAAGGAGTCACGATGATTTTGTGAAGCTGATTCTTCCAGATTCCAAATGTCTCTCTCACTTCCAGCAACAGCTGACATGGGCGTAAGATCAGATCTAAACCCTAAATAGCACAAATCCTCATCAAGACAAAAGTTAACTTTATAAGCAAGAAACTTCATCTGACATAGATGAAGCCCAAATGCATACACATAAAAATGCAAGTAAAGCCCAAACACATTACAGAATCTCAAATTACAGAAGACATGATACCTACAAGAAATTATGAACCTACAATAATATTCTTCTTATTGACATTTTAAGTAGTTCTTTTACACAGAACATTTCCAAGACATCTGACAGAATTTTCAAGTAGTAATCCAGCTCCTCATTAATAAACATTCACTGTTGTTAGAAAATGTATTCTTACTACTAAAGAAGGACCTCAACAAAACTTTCTGACTTCCATTTCCCACACTGCAAATTCAAAATTTTAAATCTTTGGTTATTTCTCAAGAAGTCTTTTATTCAATGCCAAGAATAAATTTCAAATTGCTCGCAAATTGTAAGTTGCTGAAAATTAAATACAAGTACACATTCATTCTCTGATTCTTGTCACTCATAGAAAAAGAAACTTTTGATTCCTAGTTTCAACACTAGAACACAAAATGGAAAGTTTAAAACAAAGATGACTTGATTCAGCAGTCACAGTATACACTGCACACTTGAAAGACTCAGCCTGTCATAACTGAAGCTATTACTTAAGTTTTCTGGTATTTTAAAATTGTGACACATTATCCCTATGGATATTATTCATCATATTATTTTGTTGAGCCAGGAATTTAAGTACAGTCAACCTGACACTGTTCACTTAGGTCTCAAATTTAATTAAGATCATGCAGCAAGTCCACAAACGAGATACAACACAAAGTGAGCAGCTGGGTAACACTCCTCCCAAATTCTCAAAGGGCTGACATACCAAGAGAAGGTGATTATAGCACATTTTTTCCAATTGTCACTTATTTGAACAGTTTACTGATGTTCAAAGAGGGACTCAGTCTAAATCAGTTTATGACAGAGTTAAACTTATTACAATGGGTATCGGAGTAGGGTTTAGCCTGTTAGAAATAGTGAATAGTAAATAAGGGACAAATGAGTGGGAGTAAATCCTGAAGTACTATGAAAGGGAAAACAAGTAGCTTCTGTGTGGTATAATAGAGGAGGAAAACGACTGAAAAATGACATGTGTGATATTACAAAGGTACATAAGGATGGACTAGAAATATCATTCTTTTCCAGCATAATCCTGAGTGGATGGGTGAAGGACAAGACTGCCTTTGTCAAGGCAAGGCAAAAGGATCTCACCAGCGGAATAGTGGGTTGAGAAGACCTAGGTGATGCTTTAGATCTGTAAGTGGATGGAAATGCGACTGACTGTACCTTAGAACTGTCTCATAGAAAGAACTGGTAGATGCAAGCTTGATGAAAATCTGGAGAGAGCACCTAACTTAAATGTCTTGCTTGGATATTTATTTTCTAAACCAAAATACTTCGCAGGTTTGAGACAAACAAAGGAATGTTGTTTAATCCTTATTATATAATAAATTTATGAATCTCCTTCCTACAAAATGCTGTGGGGACATAAGTTTAAAGATACTAAAATAAAGCAACCAAATTCACTTAAGAAAAAATTCAAACCATATTTGGTTTTCCATTTCACATTAAAAAAAAACAAACTTCACCTCATTTTGTTTCATGCTGATGCAAAGAAATGTTTTTTAGTTACAAACTGGAAAATTCTAATTTAAGAGAAAATGAAATGTTAAGAAGGAAAATGAAGCAGTGAGTTGTGAAGCAGACTGGGAGACAAAATTATGATACTGGGTAAAAATAGTATTAAACAATATCAGCCAAAATATACCTTCTGTGGCTATAATGAGGGAGAAAACAGAGGATTTGGGCAAAACTATGTGAAAGACCTGAGAAAGGGGGAAGATGAGGTTGTATTTCATCAGTTTTCTTTTGAAAGAAGACAGACATGAGGAAGAGAAGAAAAAACCAGAATCAGGGATGGTAATACACAGCTGAGATCAAAAGAGCTCAGAATAACAAACGAAGAAAGACTTTCCATTGCAGTAAAATGTTAAAAGCAGGAATACTGAGTATTATTAGATATCTCCTCAAAAGTATTTTCTCCAGCACAGAGTTTATTGTTCATATTTGGAAATTCATTCATTGTTTCAAGTAAGGTATTCCGTGATAATCCCCTCCGCTGGTAAGTAAACTGACTTTGTGTTAAGTCCATAAGCTGCACCAGAGTTGGAAATAACAGCTTTACTGAAGTTTCTGTTTAGAGGGGTTTTTCCATTTACACAAGTCAGAATTGTAGAACAGTCATTGTCAACTCATCAAGAAAAAGCAAGTCAAGAAGTTACATTTTTACCTGCTCAAAATATAAGCTTCATGATCAAGCGCAAAATTGTAAAATGGTTAACACTGAAATTGCTAATTGGTACAACATGAATACAAACTAAGCTACAATGAAGCTTTCATCTCATGATAACATTACAGTGCTACCAGATGCTTTTCATCTCCATCTAGATCTGCGTTCCATCTGTCTGTTAATCTATCTGTAGGCCACTTTGACTCTGTTGCTTCACTGTGGGAAACTTAAGATTCAGACCAAAAGTTACTATTTGTTTGAAATCTGTCTACGTTAGTTTATTTTCATAACTCTTCTCTCTCTTCCTTTATAAACACTCTGTGTAATTTAACAAGTAGGGAAAAAAGGACTAAGGTTCCATAACAAAAAAGGCCTTTCAAGGTCAGTGAAGCACCAGAATAGCCTAGCAAGAACTGCTTTAAAACCTTATATGCAGATTTTTAAGAACTGAGTTGAACTGTCAAAGTGTTGATGATCTGACCACAGTGCTAGAAACTGTCTCTCGAGGTTGAGGACATTAAGACTAAATCCCAAACCTATTTTGTCAATTTAGCCATAATAAAAATACATTCTTAACAGTAAGCACAAGTAAAAAATAAATGGTGAAGTCTATTCCAAGTATTTGGTTCAAAGGTTGGTCTTACTACAGGAAATAAAAAAATTGCAGCTTTTCAATTTTCTAACAGAGAGCTGTGTGCAAAGGACCTAAACCTTTCCCATATACACCACAAAGTATTACTTCATTACAGTTAGTCTGATTTTATTTGACCAACACTTACAAGAATCACTGTTTCCACTGCATTGTAAGGGAATGTTACGAGTAAAAATGAATGTGTTATATTCTACAAAAACTTAAATTACTAATTCTCCAAACTATTGTCCTTGATGACCTCTTAGCATATATTATCTAGGGAAGAAAGACCTCTTTTTAAGAAATATATAATAAAAATGTCCCCATTAAGCAGTCTTTGTATTTCACATGTCCCTATTGCACAAAAGCTGGCAATCAAAAAAAACCCCACTCTTCTCTCGTGCCAATGGACATGAACACATATAACACATTACAACCCTAAGAAGCATTTTCAGTAGTATTTTTCTCTGCCCTCTTACAACACAGAGAACCATCTATTTGCATCAGTGGTAATATAAGTAAAACGTATTTATTTGTCTTCCTGCACCATAATTCCATGGAAACACAGTATTTGTTACTTACATATTCATCTCCTACTGTTATTTTTCTATACCCTGGAGCTCTGCTTATAAATTTTGTTCTCAAGCCAAATGGAGTTAATGACAGGGAATAATGTGACCATGCTCTGAAAGCAGTTAAAAGTTCATTTTCCTCAATGTACAGGTTAAAATCATGTCTCTGTAGGCTTACCAAACAAGAACATCTGATTCTCTTGGCTTTTCAAAATATACACAGGAAAGATGAAACCTTGCTGACAATCCTTCAGCAACAAAAATCTGATTCACAGCATGTTACTTGTCAAAATGTCTCTCTCCAATTTTAAATGTTAATGTTATACCACTAATCTCCTAAAGAAC